GAGATGGCCAATATCTGGTACGTTCCCCCACAAAAAGTCAAAATTTTCACAGAAAAAAATTAACTTATAGAACAAGAAAAGATCAACTTATTTTGTTCAATCTTTGGAAAATCTAATATTTGTAACAGTACTAGATCAGGTAAGAAACTTGAAAATATAGGCCCACTCAATCAAGTACCTCCCCCACAAGGGGCCAACATTTTGAATAATTATAACTTTCATAAAATGTGAAATAAGAGTCCGAATATAAATTTTGCATATCTCAATATTTCTACAAAAATAAGATCTCCTCTTGGTACCTTCCCTACAAAGGGTCAAAATTTTGAATACATATGAAGCTCGTAAAAGCAAAGCGAAATGAGCATCCGATTCTTTTCAAACTAGACACAGTCTAATATTTTTAATAACAAAAAATCTGGTATGAAAATGGGATACCTGCGCCACAAAGTGTCAACATTTTTGAAAAATTATAAGTCTCAAAAATTGCGAAATAAGCACCAGATTCTCTTTAAATTGTACACACCCAATATTTCTACTAACACAAGATCTAGTGTGAAGGTGGGATATATCGGATCACTCCTCCTGAGATATCAGACCCCACGGGTCACATTTTTTGAATAACCAAAACGCTCATAAAATGCTATTCTCTTCCTAATATTTATATCATCGCAAGATCTGGTGTAAAGACACGATATATTAGTCCACTCCTTCTGGTACCTCCCTCGCAAAGGGGTCAAAATTTTGAATAACCACAACGCTCATAAATTGAGAAATAAGCATTCGTTTCTTTTCAAATTTCACACATTCGAATATTTTCAATAACACAAGATCTGGTGTCAAGATGGAATATATAGGTCCACTCCTTCTGGTACCTCTCCCACAAAGGGTCATAATTTTGAATAACCAAAACCCTCATAAAATGCGAAATGATAATCCGATTTTTTTTCAAACTTCTTGGGCCTTCTAATATTTATATCAACTTTAGATCTTCTCCACGTAGATCCACGTTATCATATAGCCCCCATATAACGGTACCTCCCGATATTCGGTATTTTGATGATTTTAGCGACATTATTAACCAGAATTGTTTCAAATTTGGTATTTGAAGCTTCTTATAGATACTACAGCCTAAGACAGAAAATTGTCTGTGCAGGTCCACGTCTTCGTATAGGGCCCATATATCAGTACCTCCCGATATTCGGTATTTTGATGATTTCAACGACATTATTCACCGGAATTATTTCAAATTTGGCATTTGAAGTTCGAAATGAATACTACAGCCTAAGACAAAAAATTGTCTATGCAAGTCCACGTCTTCGTATAGCCCCCATATAACGGTACCTCCCAATATTCGGTATTTTGATGATTTTAGCGACATTATTCATCGGAATTATTTCAAATTTGGCATTTGATGTTCGAAATGGATACCACAGCCTAAGACAGAAAATTGCCTGTGCAGGTCCAGCCGCCACATAACGGTACCTCCCAAAATTTGGTATTTTGATGATTTTAGCGTCCTTATTCACCGGAATTTCTTCAAATTACGTATTTAGACTTCGTAATTGGAACTACAGTCTGTAACAGAAAATTGTCTATGCAGGTCCAGGTCTTCGTATAGATCCCATATATCAGTACCTCCCTATATTCGGTATTTTGACGATTTTAGGTACAATACCCACCGAAATTGTTTGAGATGTCGTATTTGAAGTTCGTAATGGATGCTACAGCCTGTGACAGAAAATTGTCTATGCAGGTCAAGGTCTTCGCACAGCTACGATATAACGGTACCTCCCTTTATACGATATTTTGTTGATTTTAGCTACATTATTCGCCGTTTATTACAAGTTTCGAATTTGAATATGGTAATGGCTTATGACAAACAATGCCTATGTAGGTCCACGTCGTATAGACCCCAATATAACGGCTATATTCGGTATTTTTAAAATTTTAACAGAATTTTCAATGGATTTTATTTTTTTGACAATTTCGAAATTCGTTCCAAATGATGGAGGGTATTCAAAGTACGGCCAGGTCGAACTTACAGCATTTTTACTTGTTTTATTTTATTCATTTATTTATTATTTCTTTTGAAGGGACATTTTTTAGGACTCCTTAAATTTCCAAATTCTCTTTTTTTTAACTAAGCCTTGAATATCTCCCTTCATTCCATCTGATTTTTCTGGTGTTTTCCTTATCTCCACAAAGCGTTTTGCGGGTTTTTTGTGGCGAAAGTTTGGCGCTGGACTTCTTATCATCCTTAACCATCCTCTTACTTCTCCCTTTTGCTCGAAGCATGACAACTTTATCTCACAAAACAACCCCAAAAATACAAAAGGCGTCGCCGAGCCACACATAAAAAGAGATAAGGAAATCTAAGTATGTGTGGTGGTTAATGGGGAGGTGTGGAGAACATGTGTAAGGAGAAGAAGGCTATGGCGACGAGGACGAAGACGTAGAAAAAGAAGTCATTGAATTTCCGTGTTATCTTAAGAACCTATCCGTGCATTAAGTATGTAAGGTTCGTTACCCAGCTATCAAGTGTGTCAATTTCAGCAGCAGCAACAACAAATGAAATCCTTGTAACAACTTTTTGTTGTTGTTGTTGTTGTTATTTTTGCAACAACACATTGTAAAGCGTTTACATTGGCAATAAAACATTCTAGTTTCTCGCTACGATTCGATAATGACTGACTGAATGGCTGGGTGACTGGCTGAGTAAGCGACTGGGTGACTGGTTGGCTGGTTGGTGGCAGTTGGTGTCGGCAACCAGCCATTAAAGATATGTCTAATGTTTCGAACTCATGCAATATGTTATTTGTTTTGTATCGTGCAATTTATTTGAAATCAAAAATATGTTTCAGAATTTTTTTTTGGGTTTTTATTTATTTTTTGCTTCTTCTTTAAAGAAGCAATGGAGGGCTCCGCTTAATAGCCTTTAGGTGGCATATTAGCTAATATTATATATTATTGTTTTTGTTGTTATATTATTATTTAATTTAGACAACAAAAAAAATGCAATAACTATGGCAACCGTGAATTATGGCAATGGATTTGTTCACAACATTACTCACCCTAGCTGCTGGGTTTTTTTGAGGAAATCATCTGCCGAGACGGGAGTAGTATGGGATGGGGGTCTTGAAAAAAAATAATTGAAAGAATCACTGGGTATGAGGAGCAGAAGGAAACTAGAAAAAATAGACCCGTATTGATGTCTATTTTTATACCCTCAGCCATATGGCTGAAATAACGGTTTTGGACCCTAAGTCTCTTTGGACTAAATCCGTTTTGAGGACTTTTGGAGTCCGTCCATATGGCTGGCTGGCTGGTGTGCAAGATAATTCTAGAAGGGAGTATCCAATTTGGTCCAAAATTGGTACATCGTAATATAATTACCAAACTTAGATCGGGTTCGGAGATGGGCAATATAGGTCAATTCCTTCTGGTACCTCCTCCACAAAAGGTCGAAATTTTCAAAAAATATATTTTAATGCACAAAAAGAGAAAGGATAGTCCGATTTTGCTGCAACTTTGCAAATCCTAATATTTGCATCGATTCTAGGTCAGGAGTGAAAATGGACAATATCGGTCCACTCCTTCTAGTACCTCCCCCATAAAAGATCGACATTTTCAAAGTAAATAATTTACTGCACAAAAAGTAATCGGATTTTGCTGCAACTTTGCAAAACCTAATATTTGCATTGATTCTAGGCCAGGATTGAAAATGGATAATATCGGCCCACTCCATTAAGTACCTCCCACACAAATGGTCAAAATTTTAAATAATTACAACTCTTATAAAATTTGATGTATGGGTCGGATTGTCTTAAAATTACATACAACACAATATTTTTATTAACCCAAGGTCTAGTGTGAAATTGGGAAATATCGGCCCACTCCATCAAGTACCTCCCCCATATATTGGCAAAACTTTGAATATTCGTGAAGCTCAAAAAACGAGAAATTATCATCCGAAGTTTTTAAGACTTTGCACATCTCAATATTTTCATCAACACAAGACCCGTTATAAAGATGGTAGAAATCGGATCATTCCTTCTGGTACCTCTCCCACAAAGGATCAAAGTTTCGAATAACCAAAACGATCATAAAATCCGAAATAAGCTTCTGATTCTCTTCGAATTTCACACATCTCATTATTTCTACTAACACAAGATCTGGTGTGAAATTGGTATATCGGTCCACTACTACTGGTACCTCCCCCACAAGGGGGTCAAAATTTTGAATACTCGTGAAGCTCATAAAACGCGAAATTAACATCCGGTTCCATTCTGACTTGGCGCGTCTGAATATTTCCATCAACACAAGATTTGTAATAAAGATGGAAGATATCGGACCATTTATTCTGATACCTCTCCCACAAAGGGTCAAAGTTTCGAAACACCAAAACGATCATAAAATTCGAAATAAGCATCCGATTCTCTTCAAATTACACACAACACAATATTTTTATTAACCCAAGGTCTGGTGTGAAGTTAGGTTATATCGGCCCACTCCTTCTGGTACCTCCCCCACATAGGGTTCAAAATTTTGAATATCCATGAAGCTCATAAAGCACAAAATTAACATCCGGTTACATTCAGGCTTGGTACATCTCAATATTTCCATCAACACAAGTTCTGTAATAAGGATGGTAGAGATCGGGCCATTTCTTCTGGTACCTCCCCCACAAGGGGTCAAAGTTTTAAATAACCAAAACGATCATAAAATCCGAAATAGGCATACGGTTCTCTTCATACTTCACACATTTCGTTATTTCTAAAAACACAAGATGTGGTTTGAAGATGGGATATATCGGTCCACTTTTTCTGTTACCTCCCCCACAAGGGGTCAAAATTTTAAATTTTCGAAATCCTTAAATTTCGCTCCAAAACTTATTTGATTGGATGCTAAAATATGTACTACTTCAATACCTTTCCGCAATTATTCTTCTAATTACAAAACCAAGCTAATTATTTTAATTTTCCTTCTTTTCCTTCTTGCAGATACGTAATTTCCCATTTTCCGCCTACAAAAAGTCGAAGAACACCTGAGAATTCATGTGGGAGAAATCGTCAACAGCGTCGTTAATCACCCAAAATGCCGGCCAAATGATTTTATTTGGGCAACGGCGAGTGCATTGAACTCCTTTCTCATCGGATAAAAGTAGCAGAAAAAAGATCCGGCATACCAAAAAAAACAAAATCTGAAATCAAAACTGAAACAAAATACACACACACACATACATACATTCCTTTATTGAGATTTACATAAAACAACAAAAATATAAAAATAGGAACAACAAAGGACACATTTAAGTGAATATTACCACTTGCAGCACTCTCTCGCTCTCTCCTCTCTCACACACACTCACCCACTCACACATTAATAATGACAGGTGACAACGACAGGAGAAGTGTCATTGCTGGCTACAATATGCTGCCCCTCAAAATGCTATTATCCCTTTTGGTCGTTTGCATCCTGTTCGGAAGCAGCACCGAAGCCTTTGAAAATGGTCTGAAATTTAAACAAACCAAATACACAGAATGGTCCAAGAATGTCACATATCTCAGCAAGACCAGCTACAATGCCAGGGGCATGAAACCGCTCTATGAAATCAGTCACAAAGTTATGTGGTTTTTGATTGGAGGCGAGGATCCCATACCAGATGGTGAGGACATAATATTCAATCGCATGAAAAGAGTTAAAATAATAATTGTTTTCTTTTTATTTCCCCAGGTTATTTTGAACTAAAAGATGGCCAGGTGCTAAAGGGGCCCAAAGCCGAACGCAACGAATGGGGCGACTTGGTATTACATTATTGGCCCATATTGTTGATTGTTCTGTTGGTGGCAATACTGGTGGCTTCAATGCCCATCATTGGGTAAGTGAAAGAGCAATGCGAGAATGCTTATTGGCCAATTGATTTTTAATTATTTTTCGTATTTTTATTTTAGTTTGTGTTTTTGCTGTTGCCGCTGTGCCGGAGCCTGTGGTGGCCGCTCTGAGCCATTTGACAAAAAACATGATACCTGTCGACGAGTTTTTCTTGGTTTCTTGTTAATCCTGTTGGCGACGGGTATATTGTAAGTATTGGAAATCAATGTCAAAAAAATTTGTTTTGATGGGGACAGAAAGGGTCTCTAGAAGAATAAAATAACCTATAGGTCATGAACAATTCTTGATGATTATTCCGAAAAGATTGAAAGGAGAGGTTAGGCTAGGTTATGGAGTACATAGCTGCCATGGATTGCAGCCTGTGAACTCGAAGATCATAAGGTCCATTGTTCTCATCTTCAATAAAAAAAGTAAAATAGTATCATTCTGATACTATTTTATTTGCTGACAGATGTATACCCCCAGTATTAAGTTATGATTATTCAAAATGTTGGCCCTTTATGGGGAGGTTCAGAATCAGTTGGACAATATTGACCAATTCCTATCTGATCTAAGCCTGATATAAATATTACAACGTGCCAGATTTTGACCATATCGACTGCTTCCTGTACTTTGTATGAGATATGTATAAATTTTTGGAAAATGTGGAAATATGTGTGAGGTAACAGATATAGCGGAACGAAGTATTTCATTTTCGTACTTCAGCTAATACAGATAAAAATATAGTTATGTGGAAAATTTGAAGGAAATCGAACATTTGTTTCCATTTTTTTTACGAAATCATAAATTCCGATTAATTGGACATTAATATCAGATTTCTGCTTGCGGGAAATATTTAGATATATAAAGTAGTATAGAGTCGCCGACTTGTTTCGCAAGTTATGACAAATATAAGTATTGGAAATTGTGAGCCTTTGTGGGTGACATATCACATATCTTAAGTTTGGAAAAAGGTTTTTTTATGTGGGAAATTTGAGGAGATGGATGGATGGATTTGGATGGTTATTTCGCTTTCTTTGTGCGTTTTGTTTTTCGAAGTCTTGAACCCTATGTGGGGGAGGTACCGGAAGAAATAGTCCAATCTCTTTCGTCTTTATAACAGATTTTGAGTTTAAGGAAAGGAAAAAAGTCTGAATGGAATCGGATGTTAATTTGGCGTTTTATGAGCTTAATGGATATTCATAATTTTGACCCTTTGTGGGAGAGAGACCAGAAGGGGTGGACCGATATATCCCATTTTCTCAGAAGATCTTGTGTTAGTAGAAATAATGGGATGTGTGAAATATGAAGAGAAACGAATGCTTATTTCGGATTTTATGATCGTTTTGGTTATTTAAAATTTGACCCTTTGTGGGTGATGTACCAGAAGAAATGGTCCGATCTCTACCTCTTCTTATAACAGATATTGTGTTGATTGAAATGTTGGGCTTTGCCAAATCTGAATATAATCGCATGTTAATTTCGTGTTTTATGAGCTTCATAAATATTCAAAATATTGACCCATTGTGCGGGAGGTACCAGAAGGAGTGGACCGATATATTCCATCTTCACACCAGACCTTGGGCTAATAAAAATATTGTGAGGTGTGTAATTTGAAGATAATCGGACTCTTAAATCACATTTTACAAGAGTGGCAATTATTTAAAATTTTGACCCTTTTGTAGGGGAGGTGCTGATGGAGTGTACCTAGCCTATTAGTATTTGCAAATTTGGAACAAAATCGGATTATCCGTATCCAGTAAATTATTTTTTGAAAATGTTGACATTTTTTGGGGGAGGTACAAGAACGTGTAGACCGATATTTCCCATCTCCGAACTCGATCTAAGTTTGATAATAATATTACGATATACCAAGTTTGGATCAAATCGGGTGCTCCATTTGAGAGTTATCGTGTACAGACAGACGTAAGGACATTGCTAGATCGACTCCAAATGTCCTGAAATGGATTTGGTCCAAAGCAACCTAGGGTCTAAAATCGTTATTTCAATGAGGCACGTTTTGGCCGTATCAAATAATATATGCCCTCTCTAGCCATTTGACTGAGGGTATAAAAATTGTTCCTTGGTCAGAAAATGAAAAGGACACTTGTGGATACCGAGATCAGAAAAAAAGATGTGAGAAAACGAAGAATCAAGGAATTAGAGTTTCGGAGGCAGTTAAAGGGCACAAGATCTTCGTTTAAAGGAACAAAAGGCTGCATCTCAGAATACCAGAAGGCCTTTTCTTAGAAAAGCAGAAAGTCTTTCCCAGAGGACCAGATTAGAGAAGCCTTATGTATCTCGAATTGCTTCTATTAGAAATTGAAAGTGTTAATGGTAGAAGACCAAAATTTCTTCCCTTACAGAAGACAAACAATTATATTCATGGAGAGCGAGAAGGTCATTTCACGGAGGCCTACCATTAAAAGGCCTTTACATGTGTTGGCAAATGGCCAAAAAATGCAGGGTTTCACAACCTCAAAAGCCTGATTGATAACTGCGATATCGTGGTTTTCCTTAAAATTGACACAAGGTATTTTCTTAGAAGACCAGCAGGACTTATTTTGGAAGACTAGAAGGTAATTCTTCGTATAAGAATAGAAGGATTTATTTAAGAAGTACTCAAAACATCATCCTAAATTTCCATAAATATACTCTGTTTGAAGACTAGAGATTAGAAGTGCAAAGGTCATTCTTTAGAAAACCACAGCGTCTTCTTTGGAAAGGAGAAAAAGTCTTACCTTAGGAGACCGGAAGATTTTCCCTTCAAAGACTAGAAGTTTTTCCCATGAATGAACCGAAGGTATTCTCTTAAAGGACAAACCGGATTTTATTTCGAAGTCAAGAAGCTATTTTATAGAAGCTGTGTTATATAGAAAGGTCTTCTCCCAGAAGAGCAAAGAGTTTATCTCTAGAAGACCCCAGACTTTCCAGACCAGACCAGAAGACTTTCACTTCAAAATTACTGTTTTAGAAGTCAATAAGTCATTTTTTATAAAACCAGGAGCAGAATGTGTTTTCTAAATGAATTAAAAGGAAGTATCAAATTTCCCAAACAATATTTGTTTGACCCTAGGACGAACCCTATTGAAATTGCCGATAACCGATTTTGGGTTAATTGTGCACCAAATTGCCAATATCAATCCAAATCACCTTAATTTTGGCACATCCGATCGAACTCAGTCAAGAAACAAATACTTCAAGTTTGATGAAAACCGGTTCAGATATAGCTTGAGCTCCCACATATAAGTTTCATCTGATTTGGTGTTTAAGTTTCTTACATTCCTAATATGCATTCGATAACAATGATATTTGGTACAGTATATCTTATAGAGCTCGGAAATATCTCTGCCAAATTGTATCGAGATCGGTTCAAATTTGGATATAGCTCCCATATATATTTTCAACCGATTTCGGATTAATTGTGCACCAAATGGTAAATATCGGTCCAAATCACCTGAATTTTGGCACATAAGATCGAACTCAGTCTAGAAACAAGTATATCAAGTTTGGTGAAAATCGGTTCAGATATAGCTATAGCTCCCATATATATTTATCATACGATTTGGTGTTTAAGTCCCTCACATTCCTAATATACATTCGACAACAATAATATTGGGAGCCGATATCTTATAGAGCCCGGAAATACCTTTGCCAAATTTGATCAAGATCGGTTCATATTTGGATATAGCTCTCATATATATCTTCAATTTAATTGTGCACCAAATGGCCAATATCAGTCCAAATGACCTCAATTTCCTACCGAATTCAGTCTAGAAGCAAGTACATCAAATTTGGTGAAAATCGGTTCAGATATAGCTATAGCTCCCATATATATGTTTTATCCGATTTGGAGTTTAAGTCCCTCACATTCCTAATATAGGTACATTCGACAACAATGATATTGGGTACCAGATATCTTAAAGAGTTCGGAAATACCTTTGCAAATTTTTATCTAGATTGGCTAAGATTTGGATATAGCTCCCATATATATCTTCAGCCGATTTCGGGTTAATTGTGCACATAATGGCTAATATCAGCCCAAATGGAGTGAATTTCGGGACGTACGAGAAGTGATATCATGCACTCTATAGCAATGTTATGTCAGAAAAGAAAAACACGACTTAAATCAGAAGTCTGAAGATCCTCTCGTAGTAGACCACAAAGTCTCTCTCCAGAAAACCACAAGTTGTAAAACCAGAATGTCTTCTCATAGAAGACCAGAATATCTTTTCCTAGTAAAACAAAACGAGTTTTTCCCAAGTAGACCAAAACTTCTGTTCTTGAATGTTCTGAAATGTTGTTTTCTTTAAAAAGACCAAAAACTCAAAATTCATTATTCTTTAGAAGACTATGGGGCCTTCTTATAAAAAAAAAAAAAAAACAAAGGGACTTAACTCAGAAGTCTCAAGGTCACCTGATGGTAGACCACAAAACCTTCTCTAAAAGACCCCAAAATTTTCTGTTTGCCCAAAAGTCATCCTTAAGAAATTCTTACAGAGGTAGAATTTCTTTTCATAGAAAATCGTAAGGTCGTCACTTAGAAGCTTAGAAGGACTTACCTTGGAAGACAAGAAAATGGTCTAACGATATAAGAGATAACCTCCAGGTCAACAAACTTATCAGGGCTTCGGGTGCTGATGTTATGCATTATTAAAGAATGAATACCGCCCCCCACAGTCCAACCTCCATTCTCTACTCCAGAATAATCTAAAATGCCTAGACTATCCAGTTTAGTTTTGACTCGAATACGTTTAGGAATGTACAGCCGTTGTAAACGATAAAAGGTCACAAAATAATGAAAATATGTGCAAATTACCTTGCCAGTATTCTGTTCAGGACCATTTTTCACATTCCCAAAAGTTTGGAGGTAAAACCAGATTGGTAGAGCAATGGAGCCAATGCAGATACACATTAGGAAAGTTCAGCATGTTCTCAAAAGAGAATGGAAGTGCATTACAAAAGATAGACTCTAGTTTCTACTGACCATTTATTGCAGCTAAAGTAGATTGTTTGCCCAAAAGTCCTCGAAGGAATGGCTGGCTTAGTTATAAAAATTCGTCCCCTATAAATCTATTCAATTAACTTATGAAGATCTGTGGTCTGCAACCATAAATGAGAGATGCATCATTTTTATACCCTCCACCTTGGTAAGGAGGGTATATTAACTTTGTCATTCCGTTTGTAACATCCTTAAATATTCGTCGTAGACCCCATAAAGTATATATGTTCATAATCAGCATAAAATTCTAAGTCGATTTAACGATGTCCGTCTGTCTGTCTGTCGAAATCACGATACAGCCCACATTAATTGACGTAGAGCGTTTTTTATTTAGCAGAACAATGTGTATTGTGTCTAGGATGGTTGGTATTGAAAATGGGATATATCGGTCCACGTTCTGGAATAGTCCCCATATAACGGTACCTTCCGATATTTGGTATTTTGATTTTTATGCCACATTTTTTCACGGATTTGTTTGAAAATTGGTATTTGTAGGTCATAACGGGTACCTGTACCTGTGGCAAAACATTGCATGTGTAGGTCCACGTTTTGGTATACCCCCCATATAACGGTAGCTCCCGATATTCGGTATTTTGATGTTTTTTGCCACATTTTTTCACTGATTTGTCTAAAAATTGGTATTTGTGGGTCATAATGGGCCCTAGTTCGTGTGGCGAAACTTTGTATGTATAGGTCCACGTTTTGGTACAGTCTCCATATAACGGTACCCTCCAATATTCGGTATTTTGATGATTTTTGACACATTTTTCTGAAAATTGGTAGATGTAGACTATAATGGGTCCCAGTTCGTGTGGCGAGTCATTGTAATTATAGGTCCACGTTTTGGTATAGCCCCCATATAACGGTACCTCCCGATATTCGGTAATTTGATGATTTTTGCCACATTTTTTCACGTATTTGTCGGAAAATTGGTATTTGTAGGTCATAATGGGTTCTAGCTCCGTTGGCGAAACATTGTACGTATAGGTTTTTGTATAGCCCTATATAGGTTTTTGTATAGCCCTATTTTGATGATTTTTGCCACATTTTCCCACGAATATGTCAAAAAATTGGTGGAGGGTATTAAAAGTTCCGCCCGGCCGAACCTAATGTTTTTTTACTTGTTTAAATTTGTATTGTAACCAATCGGCGGATAAGTAGAAAAATGCGAAAATGTAACAAATGCAACATCAAATCTTATTTTTTTTGGGCCTGAGCCTCAATCCAGCCTCTTTCCATATACGGAATCATAGGACATATACCCTCCGTAAAATCATTTAGTATTTTCCAAATATATTTTTTACTTCATTTGAATTAATTGCGACCCCTTGACCTTTACAATATCAAAAAACCCAACCTTAATGCCCCCTGTGGAATATTAAAAAGTTCTTTCACCTTAACCTCACTTTACAGCCATACAGGCAAAATGTATGATTTTGACAGCCACCATAATTACATTTTTCGTTTTTTGTCTCTTCTTCCTTCTCTCCTAGATTTGGTGTCATTGTTGCCTTTGCCACCAACAGTTACATGCAGTTTGGCATTGACGATGGCACCGATGCTGTGCGGGCTGGCAGTAAAGATACCCAGAAATTCTTGGCGACTACATCGGAACAATTGGAATATGTGCTGGTGAATAATTACAAGCAATTGTCGGATCATTTGGAGGACATTTTGAGGAGTGAGTAGAACAAAAATAAGGCCTATTACCTCTATGATGATTCAAAAATGATGTCGAAAGAAAACACCCAATCCTCGCATGTTTTTTAATTTTTAAGGTTTGTTTATACTTGGAAAAATACTTATGGATGGGTGGGTTTCTTTCGAGTTCATTTACGAGCAGTCATTCTGAAATAGTCTCTTAAAAAAATTATTATAAAATTATTACCAAAATGCTTTTAAAGTCCGTATCCTTGAGTCTAATGAATATTTTTTTCTTTAAATTTTCAACAGCCACCTCGGATTATATAATAACAAATCTGGAACAACAATCCAAGGCCATATCGGTTAGTCGTCTCACAGAGTTCTTGGAGAAGTTGCCAAGTTTGAAAAACAAATTGCAGCAAATGAAAACAATAACCAATGATTTGAGGGTCTATGCATCGCAGTTGAGTGATGGTGAGTATTTCTTTGCCGAAATAATTGTGTCGATCTTTTATTAATTTGAAAATTTTGTTCTAGGTTTGCGTGGTGTCAAACGTGACCTGTTGGTCATGCTCAACAAGTGTTCCGATCAATCGTGCAAGGATGTCTTGAATCGTTATGAAATCGGAAAGTTAGATGCCAATGGCATACACTATGATCAGGTGAATATTGGCAGAGGGTTTTTAGTTCTAAATAATACACTAACCTCCCAGTTTTAAGAAATCGGAAGAAATGTGGAAGAATAATATGAAAATAATATGAACTTAATTGTAAGAGGTTGAATTATTTTTCACACCCTATGAGAAGTTATTAATATAAGAGAACAGAAGGACCTAACGTCGAAAATTTTTAGAATTACACAAAACCGTAAACACAAAACAAAGCCCCTAAGTTACTCTACTTGAAAATCATATGATCCTTAGACTTAGAGCTCGATATAGAATTCTTTAGAAAACTAGATTGTTTTCTCTTAGAAGTGTCGAGGGTCTTATCCCAGGAGACCACAGAGTCTTCCCTAAGTAGTTAAGAAGCCCTTCCCTAGAATGAATTAAAAGTATTATTTTAAAAGACTATAAGGATTTATTTTTAAGTTTATAAGTTATTTTTTTTAGAAGACCAGGAGGCCTTGTCATAAAAAAGAACAAAACGACTTAAATAAGAAGTCTGAAGGTCTCCTTCTAGTAGAACACAAACAAAGTCTCTTTCTAGTAAATCCCAAGTATTAAGACTAGAAGAACTTCACTTTAAAATGACCTCTTAGAAGATCGATATATATTTTTCTAAGAAAACAAAAGGAGTTTTTCCCAAGTAGACCAGAAGATCTTCAGGGCTATCATAGAAACCAATTTCGTCACTATTGGTTTTAAAAACGACAAGAAAAAATGCTTTGGTGTCATGAAAATCAACGTTATCGGTTTTATTTTCGAATTAGAATTTTATCGGTTTTGGTTGTCATAGAAGCCAATGTTATTGGTTTTGTTATTGGAAATAAACCAAGTTGCTTAGAGCTGTCACTTTTCATTTGCTTTGGATTTTTTAAACAATTTTTAAAGGATATTCAAAGGACTAAAAATGTGGATTTTTTAAACAATTTTTAAAGGTTATTCAAAGGACTAAAAATGTGGATTTTTTAGACTATTTTTAAAGGACTATAGACGTGGATTTTTTAAAGAAGGATATTTAAAGGACTATAAACGTGGAATTTTTAAAGATTTTTTAAAGGACTATGAACGTGGATTTTTTAAGGATTTTTTAAAGGACTATAAACCTGGATTTTTTAAAGATTTTTTAAAGGACTATAAACGTGGATTTTTTAAAGATTTTTTAAAGGACTATAAACGTGGATTTTTTAAAGATTTTTTAAAGGACTATAAACGTGGATTTTTTAAAGATTTTTTAAAGGACTATAAACGTGGATTTTTTAAAGATTTTTTAAAGGACTATAAACGTGGATTTTTTAAAGATTTTTTAAAGGACTATAAACGTGGATTTTTTAAAGATTTTTTAAAGGACTATAAACGTGGATTTTTTAAAGATTTTTAAAGGACTATAAACGTGGATTTTTTAAAGATTTTTTAAAGGACTATAAACGTGGATTTTTTAAAGATTTTTAAAGGACTATAAACGTGGATTTTTTAAAGATTTTTTAAAGGACTATAAACGTGGATTTTTTAAAGATTTTTTAAAGGACTATAAACGTGGATTTTTTAAAGATTTTTTAAAGGACTATAAACGTGGATTTTTTAAAGATTTTTTAAAGGACTATAAACGTGGATTTTTTAAAGATTTTTTAAAGGACTATAAACGTGGATTTTTTAAAGATTTTTTAAAGGACTATAAACGTGGATTTTTTAAAGATTTTTTAAAGGACTATAAACGTGGATTTTTTAAAGATTTTTTAAAGGACTATAAACGTGGATTTTTTAAAGATTTTTTAAAGGACTATAAACGTGGATTTTTTAAAGATTTTTTAAAGGACTATAAACGTGGATTTTTTAAAGATTTTTTAAAGGACTATAAACGTGGATTTTTTAAAGATTTTTTAAAGGACTATAAACGTGGATTTTTTAAAGATTTTTTAAAGGACTATAAACGTGGATTTTTTAAAGATTTTTTAAAGGACTATAAACGTGGATTTTTTAAAGATTTTTTAAAGGACTATAAACGTGGATTTTTTAAAGATTTTTTAAAGGACTATAAACGTGGATTTTTTAAAGATTTTTTAAAGGACTATAAACGTGGATTTTTTAAAGATTTTTTAAAGGACTATAAACGTGGATTTTTTAAAGATTTTTTAAAGGACTATAAACGTGGATTTTTTAAAGATTTTTTAAAGGACTATAAACGTGGATTTTTTAAAGATTTTTTAAAGGACTATAAACGTGGATTTTTTAAAGATTTTTTAAAGGACTATAAACGTGGATTTTTTAAAGATTTTTTAAAGGACTATAAACGTGGATTTTTTAAAGATTTTTTAAAGGACTATAAACGTGGATTTTTTAAAGATTTTTTAAAGGACTATAAACGTGGATTTTTTAAAGATTTTTTAAAGGACTATAAACGTGGATTTTTTAAAGATTTTTTAAAGGACTATAAACGTGGATTTTTTAAAGATTTTTTAAAGGACTATAAACGTGGATTTTTTAAAGATTTTTTAAAGGACTATAAACGTGGATTTTTTAAAGATTTTTTAAAGGACTATAAACGTGGATTTTTTAAAGATTTTTTAAAGGACTATAAACGTGGATTTTTTAAAGATTTTTTAAAGGACTATAAACGTGGATTTTTTAAAGATTTTTTAAAGGACTATAAACGTGGATTTTTTAAAGATTTTTTAAAGGACTATAAACGTGGATTTTTAAAGATTTTTTAAAGGACTATAAACGTGGATTTTTTAAAGATTTTTTAAAGGACTATAAACGTGGATTTTTTAAAGATTTTTTAAAGGACTATAAACGTGGATTTTTTAAAGATTTTTTAAAGGACTATAAACGTGGATTTTTTAAAGATTGAAACACTTTTATTTGTGTTTTGCGCCGCTGTTTCTGCGTTGGGCGTCAATGAAACAGATTTGCTTCGCAAATTGTACATAAATAAGACACACCAAGCTTCAATTATTTTCTTTGTTAATGCTCACAGCAATCTTATCTGATGGTTACAATGTAACATGTTAGAATGGAGATCGTTGTATGAGTGGTTTATTCAAATTCATTCTGACTTAGGTTCTATGTTTGAGAAGCGAAACTGTCGTCTAGAACGCAGTTATTTAATAACGTAATGGCTAAGTTGTCTATATTAGTAATAATTTAAATAGAGTACAAGGTTGCATGATTTGGGATTAAATATAAATGTACAAGAATAAAACGGGTTGCTTCAGTCTCCCCCTCGGATGCTGAAGACGTCCCGGCGAAGCATCAGCATGACTTCTGTTTTGGTCTTCCTCTTCGCCTTAAGATTCTTACGGGTTGAACTTGTTTATTGGCTTCGCCAACAACTGGAGTAAGGGCTGATGCGTGATAAGTCCCCAATGGTAATGTAGGTTCATCTTCGTGGGCTATAACATAAGAGGTCGTACCCTTTCGCTCGATGATTGTATATGGACCATCACGTTTCGGAATAAATTTTGAAGTTAATCCTTTGTCACTACTGCTCAAAACATGTGTTGTGACGAAAACTTTGCTGCCGACATCTAGCATTGGTTGAGGTCTTCTATGTACGTTACTATTTCGTTTGTTGTTGTCTTGTTGACGGTGCACATTTTCCTTAACATTCTTGAAGACGTTGGCCAGCGAGTGGAGATGTGGCGTAATTTCCGGAATGAAATTTTCCGACTGGATGATGGATTTCAAATCATGTTGCACATCATCGATGGTCCGAAGCTGTCGACCAAATGTTAGATAGGCGGGAGTATACTCTGTACTTTGACAAAATGTAGTGTTCATTGCAAAACGTATACTTGGTATTTTCTCGTCCCAGGACTGATGATCATTTCCAACCAAAATTGATAACTGAGCTTTAAGGTCCCTGTTCTTTCTTTCAACTGGATTAGATTCGGGATGGTAGACTGGAGTTAATGTATGTTGTATGTTAAAACAGTAAACAACCTGTTGCATAACTGCGGAAACGAATTGAACTCCATTGTCGCTAATTACCTTCCTCGGAATCCCATATCTTAAAAACACTTCATCAATTAACGTTTTTGCACAATTTTCAGCTGTTGCAACTTCCAACGGGAACAGCTCTACCCATCTGCTGGCGACGTCCTCGATGATGAAGATCCATTGGAAACCTTTGGCAGTAATAGGAAGTGGTCCAAACAAATCAATGGCAATTACCTCAAATCGCTGGTTACTAGAAACCGTCTGATAAAATCCAGCAGGCTTCAAATTTGTTGCTTTGTATCTTTGGCATTCGACGCATTCCTTCACATATTTGGCAACATCACGTCGTATTCCCGGCCAGTAATAGCGGGATGTAATTTTTTGGGTAGTGCGTTGTATTCCATAATGACCGGCAGTGTCACTACTATGATAAAATTTTAGAATTTCCATCCTTTCATCCTTTGGAATCACTAATTGCGGTTCATCGGTTTCGTCATCATCATAACAGTATAGTACGCCATCGCTGATAAAGTATCCTCTCTTTGACCAATATGCTTCATCTTCTTCATGTTTGTCTAGACATTCGATGATGTTTTTCAGTTCGGGATCATTGAGCTGACTATCTCTAATTTCTTTGGAGTTTTTCCTGGGCATTTCAATGGAGAAGGCACATAATTCACACTGTTCCTTTTCTTTGTGATCTTGACAAGGAGGTCGGGATAAGACGTCCGCAATGACATTAGTTTTTCCTGGCTTGTATTCGATTTGAATATTGAACGGTTGTAGAAGAAGTGCCCAGCGGGCCAGACGTCCTGTAGGTGATTTAATTGACATTAGCCACTTCAGAGGTTGATGATCAGTGATTAGTTTAACTTGGGATCCCTCAATATAACCTCGGAACTTTTGCACGGCCCATACGATTGCGAGTGCCTCTCTCTCTATGGTTGAATAGTTGCGTTCTGCTACGCTCAACAATCTGCTTGCATATTCGATGGGATGCTCTTCCGGGCCCTCCCCCTGGAGCAGAACTGCACCGAGTGCATAACCACTTGCATCGGTTT